CGGGAGAGCGCCGCGTCGCCGAGGGAGGTGGAGTCGCTGACGGGGCTGCGGACGGTGGCGGTGGCGTGCGGGGTGTGGCACACGGCCGCCGTGGTGGAGGTGATCGCGACCCAGCCGAGCGCGGGGAAGCTCTTCACGTGGGGAGACGGGGACAAGAATCGACTCGGGCACGGGGACAGGGAGGCTCGGGTGAAGCCCACGTGCGTGCCGGCACTCATCGACCATAACTTCCACAAGGTCGCGTGTGGACACAGCCTCACCCTCGGGCTTACTACCTCGGGCCGAGTCTTTGCTATGGGGAGCACGGTCTACGGCCAGCTCGGGAACCCACAATCTGACGGCAAGTTGCCGTGCCTGGTTGGCGACAGGCTGGCGGGCGAGTGCGTCGAGGAGATTTCGTGCGGGGCATACCACGTGGCTGTCCTGACATCAAAGAACGAGGTCTACACGTGGGGAAAGGGTGCCAACGGGCGATTGGGACACGGGGATTTAGAGGACAGAAAGTCGCCGATGCTTGTCGAGGGTTTGAAGGATCGGCACGTGAAATCCATAGCGTGCGGATCCAACTACACGTCGGCTATATGTGTACACAAGTGGGTCTCGGGGGCCGAGCAGTCCCAGTGCTCGGCCTGCCGGCAGGCGTTCGGGTTCACACGGAAGAGGCACAACTGCTACAACTGCGGGCTCGTCCACTGCCACGCGTGCAGTTCGCGGAAAGCGGTGCGGGCAGCGCTGGCGCCGGACCCGGGCAAGCCTCACCGGGTGTGTGACCCTTGCTACGCGAAGCTGGCCAAGGTGGCAGAGGGCGTGGTGGCCCACAGCCGGAGGAACTCTTCCGGGCCTCGGCTCTCCGGCGAAAACAAGGACAGGCTGGACAAGGCCGATCTGCGGCTGGCGCAGAAGTCGGGCGTGGCAACGTCCAATTTCGAGCTGATGAAGCAGCTGGACAGCAAGGCGGGCAGGCAGGGGAAGAAGGGGGACACGTTTTCGTTAGCCAGGTCATCACAGGTGTCCCTGCTCCAGCTGGGAAGGGAGGCTGTTTTGTCGGCAGCCGTTAGGAATGTTGTGCCGAAGCCGATAGTTGCACCGTCGAGCGTGAGCTCGAGGTCCGTTTCGCCCTTCTCGAGAAAGCCGAGTCCACCAAGGTCGGCCACGCCTGTGCCGACAACTTCGGGACTTTCTTTTGCGAAGAGCATTTCGGATAGTTTGAGGAAGACGAACGAGGTTCTGAACCAGGAAGTGCATAAGTTGCGGGTGCAGGTATTTTATAGACTATACTTTGTTGAAGTTCTTTCCTTTTCAGTTCATTCTGGTTGTATAAGATTATAGAAATGTTACAGTGGTCTAATAGTTGTGATTGTGGGTTTGTTTTTTGTAGGTTGAAAACCTTAAGAGCAGATGCGAACTGCAAGAACTGGAGCTTCAGCAGTCGGCTAAAAAAACCCAGGAAGCAATGGCTGTGGCTGCCGAGGAATCTGCTAAATGCAAAGCTGCCAAAGAAGTGATTAAGTCACTTACGGCGCAGGTTAGTTTTTCCAGTTTCAAATTTCCATGTTCATCTTTATCCATATACATAACTAGCGGTTTTCAAATTCAAAAAAAAAAAATAAAAAAAAAAAATCTCATTATATTCCAGCTAAAAGACATGGCTGAGAGGTTACCACCTGGGGCATACGACCCAGACAGCCTGAAGCTAATTTACCTGCCAAACGGCTCCGAACCAAAAGGCACCACCCACAATACAGGCGAAAATGGAGAAACCAATTCAAGAACGGATGCACCAAACAATTCCTACTCTGGAACTGATTCGAGTATGCTGGACAGAGCACGGGGCCCATCAGAACTGCTCGGTGATGATTCCTTAATTTCCAAAGGTGGCGGCGGCAGACATGGCCAGGCTCATCGGGACAGCATGTCCGAAAATATCGAGTCCAAAGAGTCCATGTCATATCGGGATAGTGACGCCAGCTCAAGATCGAGAAATACAGTTGTCCCAAGCATCGAGGCTGGATGGATCGAACAATATGAACCGGGTGTGTATATAACTCTCGTGGCCCTCAGTGATGGGACGAGAGATCTCAAACGCGTACGGTTCAGGTACTTTCTCGATAATTTTCAATCGATGGGTGTGTTTCGTAAAAGTAGTTTTACGTATATAATGGGTACCGATTGTTTTTTTTTTTTTTTTAATATTTGTTAGCCGACGAAGATTTGGGGAACACCAAGCAGAGACTTGGTGGTCAGAAAATCGAGAGAGAGTGTATGAGAAGTACAATGTGCGCGGTTCGGATAAGTCGTCGGTTTCCGGTCAGGCTGCACGGAGGTCGGAAGGGGCATTTTCGCCTTCTTCTCAAGTTTAGGTTAAAAAGTGAGGATTTTGTGTAAGGGTCTCTCCATTTGAGCACACAATGTTAGTTGTCAAGAGAGTAATTGGAGGAGAGTAGCAAAACCACCCTTATATTTTTGGCTGTTTGTCCTCTTTCTTACCATCTCTTCATTTTTATTTATTTATTTTTTTTCTAAATTAAATTTGTCTTTTTATTTCTCTTGCATTTACCAGGTTCTTATTGTCATATTGTGTATATAACTCTCAATTATTTATAATTATTACATTGATGTCTCAAATCTCTGTGTTTCAGTTCCTCCCAACATTATTGTTTGAGCTTCCTTTGTTTGACCATTTATTACATGTTCGTTCATGTTTCAACTGGTGTACATTCATACAGACAGAAAACACACATACACAAAGAGAATGAATACACACAAGAAATTCCATCAATTGAGAAATGAAGAATTATGTGAACTGATCGAACATGTCTGGATTTATCATTTCTACCAAAAAATTCATTCCATGTCATTCTGGTATGTATATAACTTTATATACATAAAATACTTGCAAAATGTGAATAAATCATCAGACCTCAAACCTTGTGTAATGAGACATCAAAACTTCATTTTCTTCGTTTATATGCAAAATGTGAATAAATCATTAGACCTCAAACCTTGTGCAACGAGACCTCAAAACTTCATTTCCTTCATATGAAGACGGAAATGTCATACATTTTCAATAGATTGTTATAATGTCAAACTGAAGTATCATACTTTAAAATCAACAAAAATAATATGATATTTTTTATTATAAGAATGTTTTTAATTGAAAATTTGATGGTCAAACTGAAATATCATACTAGAAAATAAAAAAAGAATAATATAATATTTTTTAGTATAAAAATATTATATTTTTTAATATAAAAATTTTTAGTATAAACATGTTTTTTTTAGTTAAGAAGCATGATGGATCGACCCTAACTGTTAGAGCAAACTCTCACAAAACTTTGTGAATCAGAATAAGTTATCAAGTTGGAAAATCTTGGTCTCTTTTTAGAAAAACATCTAAGAGATTAAAGGGAAAAAAATTCCAATCTCTCATTTTTTCTAGAGAAACTTTCTTTGACAATCAACCGTCAAATAACGTGCACATATAAAAGTTGGACCAAAAATACTTATATTCAATATTCTCCAATTGTTCAGATAAGGATGCTCCCTTCACGTCAACTTAGCAAAATAAGCGAAAAACAATTTCAATAATATGGTATCTGATTATGATTCTATTTTTCATAGGATACTCTCACTGTGCGCCAGTTGATATTATTGAGCATTATTGTGCATATGAAAAAAGCAAAATTAATGCTTTCTGTAATTTGGGGCGATGATTCTAATTTCAATTGGATACTTTCAAAGTGACCTAACTAATAATAGATCATGAGGTATTTGAATATGTTCAAAAAGGTCCCTCTAAGTGCATAAATATTAAATATTCCAACATACAAGGTTTATTCATACTAAGATGTCATGATTTATAAACTAATATAAAAAAAGTATAACTCCTCACATTATAAATACAAATTCTTGTGCAAATATTTTTAACAAAATTGATAGTCTTAACATAAGATGTGATAAGTTTGAAAGCTTGAATATTTGTTGAAAAAAATATCAATGTATAAATATTAAATCAAATCTTTCAAACCATTAAATTGTCTTACAATAATATATTTTTAAACTTTTTAAAAGTAGTGTAAAACCAATCCAATAGACAGTCAATGTACCATAAAAAGGAGGCTTTAATTATTAATCGGATGAACTTGCACCATGTATTGTCTGATTCTGACCGTTGATATGGATAAATGGGCGTGTCCCCATCACGGCTTTCAAATTCCCAAATAGAATAAAAAACAAGATTTTCACAGAGTTGCATACTATTTGGTTCTGTTATTATTACTATTTTTATTTAAATACCATACCGGTGGTCATACCGGTCTAGCCACCAGTATCAGTATTACCGGAATACTAAACAAAGAACATTATATATTTATATAAGATATTATATTAACATTATATATTTATATAAGATATCATATTGAATGAGAGTAATACCATTTGAATATTAACTCAAGAAAAATACTTGCATATATAGTTATGACTTATAACATCGTCCAAAAACATCTCAAATCATAACATTATTAGTACTAAATTAGTAAATCCTAAGTACTCTGGCTTTGCTGGTTCACCTGCATTATCCAAAAACCATAAGCAGCAACACGGTATTATCGGAAATCCGGTTTTTTGAGTGTTTTTGTACCGTATTTAGGACCGAAAATCGGTAATACCGATATTACCGACCAATACGGTACGATTTTTAAAACATTGCGTTATAAATCAAGTGGGTAAAGAAATATGACCCTTGCTTCAATCAATTAAAAAGGGCGGAGAACAAATAAAGCGTAAAAACTAAAGTATAAAGTAAAAAACAAAATCATGAGTCTCAAAACTTGACTATTAATTTTATTAAACCAAGTCAAAGCATAAAAATTAAGGGTAAGGTAAAAAATGCAAAGGCATGAGCCTCAAAACCTGACCACTTTATATATAGACCTCATGATTCTCCATCCACTTTGCAGCTATTTTTCGTAAAATTACAGCGCTCGTGTTCCTTTAAAATTGACTCATTAATTTGTTTTAAGGCCATGATTTCACATACAATATTGAATCTCTTTTTGTCTTGCTTTTGAGTTGCAAAAGTCGTGTGTTTCCATTTGTTAATAGTTACGGGTTTCCTTGTAAGCTTTCACCCCTGAAGAAAAAGTTACCATGATCATCATTGTATAAGTATTCTTGAAAATTATGTGATTGATATTATATAGAAATATAAAAAATCCCCGTGAGAGGGCTATGACTATGTCTTATGCCTCATAATATGAAGCACAGGGACTTGACGCGTAATTTAATTACCTTTATTTGCTGTTTTAATAAATTCCAATTTCCACATGAATTGAAAAATTATAAATAAGTTTCAGGATAACCAATAAATATAAATGTTCGAACTACGATGTCGTACTATTAAATCATGCATGCATATATACATGCACGGGTGTATGTTAATCTAATAGTTTTACTCCAATTCCAACAAATCTAAGTGTTGGAATATGTGAATGAAATTTGTAACATAACTAGTGTTGTTAAATTAAACGAGTCTGGTTCGGTTCGAGCTCGACTCGTTAAGGCTCGAGTTCGGCTCGAGCTCTAGTCCTTAACGAATCAAGCTCATTTAAAGCTCGCTTCGTTAACGAGCCGAGTTCGGCTCAACTCGATAAGGCTCATTAAAGCTCGAGATCGACTCGTTAATAGTGATAAATGAACCAAGTTTGAGCTCGATTTCTGACTCGTTTAATTAACAAACCGAACTCGGCTCAGCTTGTTTACATGGCTAAACATAACATTAGATTTTGTAACCGATTATTTAATTCGCAACTTCAATTGTAACTTAGCTTCTAACGTTGCAGACTTTTAACTCCACTTTGTTAATTCGTGTTTAAATGCAAAAATAATAATAATAATTAATGTAGGTCAATGCTAGGCCTATAAATATATTGGCCTTCTTTGAAGAGAAAGACGAAGAAAATAAATGAGAAACAAGAATTCTTAAAGATTTTTTGATCTGCACATAATTCTAATTCGCCGGATTTTATTCAGTTATCTTAGGAAACAGAAACTCATACTGTTATAAAGCACTACAAAAAAATCTCATATTCCAACGGAAAATCTTACGGTAATACATTCCAATAGAAATTCCAACGGATATTCCAATGGTATATATGTTGTTGGAATGAATCTAACAGAATTATTCCGTTAGAATGAGTTTTTCCATTGAAATTTAGATGGTATTTGATCATTCCAACGGCTATTATTCCAATGATTTTTACCGTAGGATTTCCGTTGGAAATTTTATTTTCACCCATATTTAAACCAAAATGTACCGTTTGAATCATCAAAATGCAACGGAAATTCTAATGAGTAACTCATTCAAACGGATTATTTTTGTTAGAATTTCCATCGGAATCCATTGGAAAATTCCAATGGACAAAATAACATTGGAATATATTTTCATTGGAATTTTCTATTGGAATTTCATTATATTCTTGTAGTGAAGGACGAATCTATTCTAAGGGCACAATATTCTCACATACTTCGATATTTTATTATTTAATCATCTTATTTTTTTTTCTCAATAATTAAAGTTCCCAACACCTAGAGCATGTTTGTTTATAAGATTTTTCAAAAGAAAAATTCAACATTTTAACTCAACTACATTTTTAACTCAACTTTAACTCAACTTCACTATCAAACCAAAAAATCTAAACAAAACCAAAAAATTTCATAAACAAGCATGCTCCTAATGCTCGACCCTAGAGCAAACAAGCCCCACCATAATAATAATAATGAAATCTTGAATTTCTAAACGGATAGTAATTTTGGAATAAATTTAATAATACAACAAATAACTTGAAATGAAAGTTTATTAAAAAGTTTGTGATTATTTGGCCGAATAATTGATTCATGATTTTAACGCCTGATATTGAACAAATAGGCAATACCAATATATGGAGCACCCGATTTAATGTAATTAAAAGACATACAATCACTATAGAATTCGTCTTCATCATGCGTGTTGAGTAGTTGGTTTGGTAGTAGGACTCTTTTCCTAAACCAATTATGTATGCCCTGTGAAATACAATCATGATTAAAGAAAAAAATAGTAAAACTATTGCCATGTGTTAAATAGCTATATATTGTTTTAATAAATATATATTCTTGTTACTAAATCATTATAATTTAAAAATAAAAGCAACAATTTATTACAAATATATAGTTTAACTAAAAAATAAATAGATCGACTCAAATGATTCTAACATCACCACTTATAATTTCACCCTATCCTCGGCCCGTACGTAGGCACTGCTTCACAGGATTTTAACCATTTAGTCAACATAGAATCGCATAGGTGTGTGTGAAATGTTATACGAAACAAACAACTCGTAAGCTCGACTTCTAGCACGAGCACGGTTAAGGCTCGTTGAGTTAAGTTCAATTCTATTATGATACAAAATCAAAGACAGGGAACGTCAAACTTTATTATCAACCAGAATTGAAGAATCGGTATAAAGCTATTGTGTGTTTGAGAGAATGAGGAGAAAGTCGGAGAGAGGAAAATACAATGTTCATAATGAGTAAGTATGTAACAAAGAGTCCTAATTTCATTTTTATACTTAGCCTAAATATAAGTAAAGTGGTTACTCAATTATAAAAGTGTGTTTTGCATAAAAGAACTTAAATACTACATTTTATACTCTAATAAATTTGGCTAGTTCAAATTTGTTGGCATTAACAAAAAAGAAAATTTTACGTAATTTTGCTAATAAGTATTTAATATAAACTCGTTTATCAATTCAAATCAATAAAAGCTCGAGCCAAATTCAAGTATGAGAAGGTTTAACACTTTAACTCAGCTCGTAATATGAAAATCAATGTCCACGAATAGGACGGGCCGAATTTGCCCCATTTATACTTACCCACTTGCATATAATTAAATCCAATGATTATAAAAATCCAGAATAAAACATAAAAATTAGTGCAAATCAAGTTTGACTTTACCTAAATCCCCGCAAGAATTTGATGCTGAATGCGATGTGTGTATACATATGTACCCCGTCAACATCTCCAACTCGTGGGCCCCACCACCACCACCAAAATCTGGGACTCCTTTCTTTGAACGATTCCTTTATAAAAGCCCCCAACAAATCCCCCATTCAAAGTTTCAGACTTTTTTATTAAATAAAAAAAAATAAAAATCAGACTTATATTAATTTAAACCAATACTTCATACTCGACTTATTGACCGATACGGCGTCACTTCAACCCCACTTTGACTGCGTGTTTCATTTATACTACAAAACACACGCACTTTCATTTGCAGAGAAAACAAAAATTCGCTTAAATACACACCAGAGGAAAAATGTCGAGGGGAAAGAGGAGAGAGGAGCTGTACGTCACCGTGCCGAACCTCTTTCGGTGCCCGATCTCCATGGACGTGATGAAGTCTCCGGTGAGCCTCTGCACCGGCGTCACCTACGACCGGAGCTCCATCGAGAAGTGGCTGTCCCTCGGCCACAACACCTGCCCCGCCACCATGCAGATCCTGCCGTCCACTCGCACCACCCCCAACCTCACCCTCCGCCGCCTCATCGACCTCTGGCTCACGCACGATCAGCCGTCCCCGTCCCCGTCCTTGGCCTCGCCCTCGCCGCCAATTTCGAAGCAGCAGGCGGCCGACCTCATCAACGCCGGAGGATTCGATTCGGATACGGATTCCCTCGCCAAATTGATCCGGTTTGTGGCTGTTTCAGAGGAGAATTTGAAATTCGTTGCTCGATCGGTTGATTCAGTGTCGAGATTCGTTGGGGCTTTTAAGGAGTCCGACGATATTCGGATTCACGAGCTAATTTTGGAGGTTTTGGATTTGATTTCACCGGTGGATGGAGTGAGGGAGATGTTGAACCGGCTGATTTTAAGAACCGGCGACGGAGGGGACTGTCTGTCGGCATTCTACGCGGTTTTGCAAAGAGGGACAACCGAATCGAAGGCGAAATCGGCGAGGATTTTGGAATTAATCGCGGTGGATCTCGAATCTCAGCGCAAAATCGGAGAAAATACGGAGATACTACACGAACTATTCAATTTGTGCACCGTAGATACGGATCCGTCGGCTGTGGAGGCCGGCTTTTCCGCTCTACTAGCGATCTCGACCACCAGGCCGGTGAAGAAGGAGCTGATCCGGCTCGGCATAGTCCGAACCGTAGGGAAGATCCTCTCCGGGCGGGACCGGCCAGCGCCGGTTCGCGCGGTGGTGGAGAAGGCGCTGGCGGCGCTGGAGAAGGTGGCGACGTGCCCAGAGGGGAGGGGCGCGATCGCCGGGGACGGTGAGTGCGTGGCGGCGGTGGTGAGGGGACTGGTGAAGTTTTCCGGCGCCGCGACGGAACACGGGGTGGCGGTGTTGTGGAGCGTGTGCTGCCTGGCGCGGGACCCGTCGGCGCAGGAGAGAGCGGCGTCAGTCAACGGTTTGACCAAAGTACTACTGGTGATGCAGAGCGGTTGTAGCTCGGGGACGAGGCAGATGTGCGTGGAATTGGTGAAGGTGCTGAGGACGAAAGGTGGGAGGTCTAATCTGGCGCCGTACGAGACAAGGACCACTCACATTGCGCCTTATTAAATTCACTCTTAAATGTTTGTAATTAGTTTCATCATTATTTCTGTATTTAGGGTTTTTTTTTCGGTAATTTAGGGGAACGAAAAAAATCTGGGTTATATAAGAGAGAGAGGACAAGTGAAAATATTTTCGCTTATTGACGTGTTTGTGAAATGAACGTACCAATATGTTTTAGGCTGATAATTTGAGACAATGCAATATTGACCTAAAGATGGCTTATAATCCAGATTTTTTAGCTGATGCAATCTGCTAATCAACTACTAATTCTTGCATCAGCTAATCAACTACTAATTCTTAGAGTGTGATTGATAACCACCATAAGATAGATTAAAGCATATTGAATTAGCTTATAAGACTATTTTTAAAGTCATTAAAAATGCACAACCCAAATCACCTTTGGTCGCGATCGGTATTGAACAAGTGCATTTTTTAGATAAAATAAAAGATAATTTATATTTTTTGGTATTAATTTATATTATTAAATAAAAATAAAATATACTAAAATTTGTATTTTTTTTTATTTTCTATAAACAGAGACCATATTTGGTAGGTTTTGAAACACAAATGAAATTTCTCTCTTTTCACTCTTTCCTAATTCTATCTTATTAATTGTATCACCTCTTCCATTAATTTTTTCTAATTTTCAATAAATACCATATGGATCCAACTAAAACAATAACACAAATCAATCGTAGATAATACCTAATAAATAAATGAACAAAAATAAAATAAATATACTACGTTAGGTTGGGTCGAGGATAGATAGTAAGGCAATGTTTGGTTTGAGGGATTTGGAGGGGAGCGGAGGGGAGGGGATGGAGAATTCTAATTTTCACTTGTTTGGTTGCAAAATTAGGAGGGGAGGGAGAAGAAAATTTTAAGTAATTTTCCGTCCCCTCCCCCACTTTTTCTTCCCTCCAAGATTGGAGGGATTTGGAGGGGAAGTGTTTTAATATCATGTGAAATGACCATTTAGTCCTTATTTTCAAATATTTTTATTTTTTTATCTTATTTCATTAAGGGTAAGTTTGTCATTTTAATTTTATTTTCCCTTCCTTTAATATTTTAACCAAACAAGGTTTATCACTTTCCCTCCTTTCCCCTCCTAAATAATCTCTCCAATTGGTAAAATTATTTTACATCACCTCCCCTCCCCTCCCTTTCCATCCATTAAAATCCCTCCCCTCCCTTCCCCTCCATTGAACCAAACACACCCTAAAGTTCGGTTATGTAGTTGGAGGATATATAATTATTTTTAATTATTAGGTTGATATGAGTTGGGTTGTGTTGAGAATAAAGATGGTCTAAGCTTTATGTATTATAAAAATAAAGATAGTCTAAGCTTTCTCATAAACTTCTTTGAGTAGTTTTTCAAATAAGTCTGTTATTATTTCAACTGTTTTACCAGCTAATTTTATCACACTTTTTATCATATCAGCTAGTTATTCAACCATAAACCATAAGATATCAGCTATAAGCTCGAAATTAACTTAATTTTACTAAATATTTTTATCATATCACAATCATAAGCTGAAATTAACTTAATTTTATCAAACAATTTTATCACATCAGCTAGCTTTTCATCCATAAGTTATAAGCACAAAATTAACTTATCAATTATAAGCTAACTTATCAGCTAATTTTACCAAACACGATCTTAATGTTTTTACGGGAGTATAGGACAGAGCTATAAACAAACCCAAACATTCGTTTTGTACAAAAATTCATCCCTTTATACAAAAAATCAGACTTGCGCATAAACCCGACCTAACATGACCCAAATTGTTCAAGCCAATTTACTAACAATCTATAATGTTCACAAACATTAGCTTAATAATTATTTTAACTAAAAGTTCGAAATTTGAAATTCCTCAATCATGCAATATCCTAATTTAAAGAGGATCACCTTCTATAGAGATCTATACGCAATACCTTGCTTCAAAAGACCAACTTTTATAGGCAACTCCAGAGTCCGTGTACCTAATCACTACATTTCACAGACACGGCTCCACCAAAGTGGTGAAAAATAGCTAGCCATTGGGGCATAGCTGTAAAACAAAAATGTAGGGCATTATTTTGCGTAAATACAATCTAAAACCCGCATAGAGGCTAGGATATATTATAAATAAACATAACTTAGGTTTATAGCAACTAGGGGGTATCTTCAAATGATATTGGAGCATGTAAACGACAAAATTTAGCTCCATAAGGTCAGTCACAAGAGATGCAAGCACCTTCTCCAATTTAAAGTAGATTCATTCAAAAGCTCACATAGTTAATAATTCCCTAACCATTATCAATATCAACATGCCAACCAAACGAAAAAGAGGAAAAAAGAAATCCTTAACGAAACAAGGACGGCAAAAGAGTTCCAAAATGTTAAAAGGCCATCCACGAATATTACTGAACAAACTCAAACTCGATCGTTAACAGTAGAATTGCATGATATTGATACCACCTCCCTCGTTCAAAGCATTTAAATAAGGAAAGCACCTATTTTGTATGCTCCCTCCACACTCGCAAGCTACCATTTAGTGGACCTGTAGTTGAACGCCGTGTGTGTCGGTAGTCAATCAAAAAAATTACAACTAATCAATGAATGAAATGATTCAAGAACTAGTACGTCTAAAATCATTTCAAAATTCGAAAATAAAAAGAAAGAATTAGGATGACGACTCTAGGCATGCTTGGATATAAGTTTTTTTGTTTTGATTGGATTTTTTGGTTAACCAGAGTTAATTTTGAAACAGCTCAATCAGCTGATTGAGTTAGGTTTGAGTGAGATTTTGAGTTTGTATTAAAATAATATTAAAAATAAGATGATTGAAGTTGATATCACGTAAAAGTAAGAGAGAAATGATTGAAAAGGATGAGTAGTTAAAATTATGTGACTAGATAATTAGTTAATTAAAGATGATGTCATGTATGAGAATGATTGATTAGTATTATTTAATTATATTGATAATATTGAGGAGAGTTGAGTTAGAGTTAAATCTGAGTTGTCATCAGATTTGTCTGAGTAAATTTATATCCAAGCATGCCCTCAGAAACTAGTTGCACACAATAATATCACCTGAGACGATACCCACATCAATCACGATAGCCCCCCGAGGGGCGCTCGTACGGGCCCGACCGCTCCCGACTATACTTATCATTCCCCGAACCACCACGACTTCCCGAGTCCCGACTCCTCCCACCACCACCACCGCCGCCGCCATACCTATCTCCATTACGATCCGGCCCATAGCGGCCGCCGCCGCCGCCACCGCCATATCGGTCATCCCTCCCGCCATACCTGCCGCCACCCCTCGACCCTTCTCCCGAGGGGCATTCCCTTGCAAAATGCCCCGGCTTCCCACACTTGTAACAGTCGCCACCCGACCCGCGGGCCCCACCGCCGTCTCGGTTCCGGCTGCCCCTGCTGTCACGGTCACGTCCACCTCTGTCGCGGTCGTGGTCTCTATCTCCGCCATCACGATCACGGTCCCGGCCCGAGCCCTGGTTGAGCTGGGCCCGATCGACGGTTATGGACCGGCCATCGAGATCCATGCCGTTCATTGCCTTGATGGCTTCTTCCATGTCGCGCTCGTCGTCGAAGGAGACGAATCCAAACCCGCGCGAGCGGCCTGAAAATTTGTCGACCACAACCTAGCGAAATGGGGGATATTAATTTTTGAAGATTCTTGATAGGAAATAGAGATGGAGAAAATGCAGGTGATGCCCTTATTTAGCACAACCCTTCAGCTTTCAACTCTAGTAGAATATTTTTATCATGCCACCCAGAAATCACGGCAACAAGTTTTAAAACTTGATTTGGACTAAGCTAAGAAGCAGATCAAAATTCACAAATGATAATCTAGATATGTAATATGACACCTAACAACTTACAAAATTGGGTATTGGCTCAGAATTCTAACACATGAAACAATTTTATGATATTTTACATAATACGATCACTTGGATCGACATTAAACCCTTTCAATGTAAATGGGAACCTCTTTAAAAAATATCGTTATTCTTTATATGTCACATGAGAAAGGAGTCAACAGCTTAAAATCAAATCAGCGATCAATGCAATCATAAGATAACAAAAAATCAGAAATATACAATTGCAAGTAGACATAATAACACCAATCAGCCACAGACATAATATACAAAAGCCAGATTGATTTGGATGCCATACCTTTGCATCCACAAGATGGCCAAACTTTTCAAATGCCTGCTTCAAACCTCTGTCCGATGTCGACCACGATAGGTTCCCAATAAAGCAGCGAAACTCATCTTGATCGGCCATATTCGGCTATGCACAAGAAATAAATAAATAAATAAATGACTTTAGAAAACAGTATAGAGAAAAGAAGGGAAAGAACTGACAAATTATTACTGTTGTTTGAGTTCAGTTGTTCAATTGCAGTTAAACAACACAGTTTGATCAATTTGACCAGAAATTTAATATCATTCCTCCCACCTCAAACTTCACCTAAAACTGTACCAAATGACAGCTTATATATTGCTTTCAGGCAATCATTCTCCCCTTTATAAAACTCTTGTTGCAGCTGGACAACTATTGATGTACCAAATATGAAATTTTGAAATTTTAACGATGAGTGGCAAAACGATTTACATCATAACTACAGTTAATCAGATGGGGGCTAATGAAAAGGGAAGATGCTTCAATTTTACACATCGGTAGATAGTAGAACATGCTATCCAACTATCAAGTGTCAATTACAACTACAAATATGTCAAGGAATTCAGTGTGAATAACAAAACAGGTAGTAAATACTAGCACGAACCAGGATTTCGAATAAGACTTGGCTATTTTTCCAGGTAATAGAAAACCACTATAAATTTCAACACCTCAATCCACACCCGTAAAGGAGACAGAGAAACTCGTCAAATATTTACAGGATATCAGCATATTTTTGCCAATATAGACAGTGAATCGAAATATTGGAATGGCTCTAAACACAATAAATCCAGATAATACTTGGTATACAACTATAATGAAATCAGTCTTGGTTCCTCATCAATTTGATTATAGTGAATTCACACATGTAAAATACCTAAATATAGACCACATCATAACTCTGCAATCAAGAACTGGATTCTTTTTTCCAAAAAAGGAATGGGAGCCGGAGAAAACCCAAAACAGTGCTTAAATCCAGACCCTAAACGAGCATAAATACATAGCAATTACTCAATCCGAGTGTGAAATTTAGGTTACTGAGCGAATCAAGAACGCGCCTTTTTCAATTCAACACACGCATAACTGTATAACAATCAAATCAACGCCCAATAACAAGCGGGTTTCTACAGAACAATGATATTACAACTTAGTGCTGGCGAAAAAGCTGATGAGAGGAGAAAATACTGAACCTGCAACTAGGGTTTTTGAAATCCTGTTCGATACGCTTGACGAGCAGCTTCTCCTTCGTGGGTTTTTGCTGCTTTTAGCTTCGAAGAAACCCTAAATAATGTATTGGCCACTCAATTCTTTTGAAATTACGGAATAAAAGGACCGTCAGCACATTCCACGTAACATGTATTATCCACGTTGTAAAATATATATTAGTGATTATTTATACTTGAGTATGCAATATATTTAGTATCAATTGAAAATTTAGCACCAATATTATCGAACAGTCAATTTATTTAAAAAATGTATTCTCAGAATACGTTTTTCAATCAGGATGACTCCATAACGGAGCAATCCGATGCCTCCATAGCATTTCCTATTATCGAATTAATCTATGTAAGAATAATTCAATGACACAAAGCACGTTCGAAAATAATTCTACACATTATATTTCATAAATAATATGTTGATTATACCATAAGTATTATTTTTTTTCAAATTAATGCATATTCGAAAAAATAAATAACAATTAATGTGTTATCTTTTTTTCCCATATATTTTTCTTAAGAGAAAAATTACACACTTAGTCTTGATAATGTAGTACATCTCCAATACTATGGCTTTCAAAGATAATAATTTTTAACACATGTTAGTTAATGATTGTAAAATTAATCCAAACATGAATAATGTTAAAAGGCTAAAAATTCGAATCAAACTAGTATCTCCAATACAACAATCTGATAAGAAGTTATTTGTATATGTGGACTAATTAAAATAATTTATTGATATACGAACAATAAAAAATTAAACCAGATATAAAGTGAATTAATGAGTCATCATGTTTAATATGTTGTTAGAGCACCTACAATGCTTTGGGTCTCTTAATTAAAACAATATCACATGTCACATGGGAAATAGACTTAGTCTATAAAAAAATATTTTACAATCAAAATTGGATATGGTTTAACTTTTGTGACAATAAAAAAATGAGACCAAGTCCACACTTAATATTTTGGACTCAAGTACAAACCTGAATAGTAAGCAGTTATTCTTAATTTAATTATTCTTTTAATATAGAAAACATATTAGAGTTTTTTTATTGGTTGGCAGGTATTCTAGACTGAATATTTTATTTTCTCATTGGATAGCTTTTGAATTTTTTTACTTGGGTTGTCCATGTCATTCAGGATGTAAAATTGGATTCAATGTATTGTGGGTGCTCTTAGATATTACAAAATGGGCTTAAAAGTAATACACTTTCAAAAGTTGATGATATAAATGATTTTTTATAATGTCAAAAGTCACGTTGGAAATGCTCCTAAACAATTGGCCAATAACTAATTTCGTAGATATTGTGTTAGCCACTTTCATTAAGAGCATTCATAAGGATTTTTATTGAATTTTGTCTAATTGTTAATATAATATACTTGGGTCTTGAATGATGCGGTGAATAAAATAAAAAGTGGAGCATATTCATTGAAAAGTAATTTCTTTTTACTTTAGATACAAAGTGATGTGAAGTCAAATAATTATGTGTGTTTTATTAAAATAATAAATTAAGTAGAATAATATTATGAGTGATTTATTGAAATGAAAATTTTATGAAAAGACATTTGTTGTACTCGTGGATCAAAATCACCCAAGTGAGAGTATAATTAACGGTTGAATTCATCCTACTCCATAGGTTTTGTTTTCCCAGTGTCGCCATTTGGTTTTTAACCACAAATTTCACACACACTTAAGTGAGTGTGTGTGTTAGTGTGTGTGAAATTGTGAATATGTGGCACTACCCCATGGGGTAGGATCGACTCTACCATAATTAACTTCTTCACACGTCACATCATACAGACATAGCTTTATTATTTATTTATTTTTTATTTATTTGTATTGAAAAACATTTTTTAAACAAAAAGTTCAGAATCTTATATGATACTCTACTTTGTTTTAAGAAATAGACCCTTATATTGGAAATACTCGTTAGAGTGCCAGTAAAGACTAGTGTCAATCCAATTTTTAAAATAGTATTAACCACATATTATGTATAATATACTGGTATTGTATACCAACACCTAATTTCATTTGACAAGTTAAGTGGTACTTACACTGATATATATATATATATATATATATATATATATATATATATATCTGTGGGTGTGTGTGTGTGTGTGTTGACTCTTACTTGGAGCTGCAAACGAGTCAAGCGGGTCGTGAGGGTTGTGTTTAATTATCGAAGTCGAGCTTAACTTCGAGGAAGACAAGTACGTGTGGAAAAAACATCAAACAAATAGAGCTTTAAAGTGTACAGATGGGAAAGACAACATGTCACAAGAGCAAGGCGAAGATTGGAACCCTACTGTGAAAGGGATGCATCACGAGCCGGGCATTTACATATGAGGCCCTTTAGCAAAGTCAAGTCAATTTCGGGGCCACAAAATACTGCAACTGAAGAACATGCCCTATGGAGTAGAGGGAAGCGTGTATGTTGTTATGCTTACTAATCCTGCAATTGATGAAAAGGTACTATGAAGTAAAGGAAAATGTGTATTTGTCACACTTACTATCTTCCAAGGCAAAGGTGACTAAAGGGCGGGCCAAACGCGACAGAGCGACGACAAGGGAGCAGATATCCCAATTGGCAAGGGACAAGAGAGGCTCAATAGGGTCAATGTTCAGTTTGACCCGACTTGTTTGCAGCCTTACTCTCAAACTGGGGTTGTTTAACGAAATGAACCGCTCATTAACTCAACTCAACTTGTTATGATTCGAGTTCATCTCATCTCGTTTCATAAACTAAACGAGCCAGGATTGTTTAAAACTTATTTGCTTAACAAAATAAGAGCTTTTGCCTAACTTTTTAAACTTATAGTTCTAGCACAAAAACTAGAGATTCCATCAGCTTAGGCACTTGACCCTGATGGCTTTTTAAAACTCGAACACTGCCAGATTGGCTTTAGTTGCTATAAGGATGTAGAAGAGAAGAGTTGGTCCTCCTGGGATCTCGAGGAGTGATTGTGATCAAGACACCAATTGAGACTAACTCGTTCAAAATTCAACTTCAGCTCGTTAATATGAAAAACGAGTTGAATTCAAGTCAGGGGTGATTGGTTATAAATTATATAGTCACTTCCCGCCATATAATTTTCTTAACTCAAAATCTTACTTAAATTCAACTCAACCCAATCATTCTCATAAATATTATTATATAATATAATTAAATAAAATCAATCCCATTCTCACACGTCACATCATATGTATTTTAATATTCATCCACCCACATAACTACAACTACCCATCACTTCTGACCATCTCTCTCTCACTTTTATATTAATCAACTTTAATCATTATATTTTAAATATTATTTTTATAGTGAAATGTGCTTCACTCGGTCTTGATTCGAACAACTTCTTCTACCTCGAACGGCCTCCGAACCTACAAGAACTCAACACTGGAAGGAGAGTTTTCTGGTGAAGCGTCTCCGATACTTAAATGAGTAGAAGATGGAGATAATGAACAATAAGTTGCAGAGATTATATATGAGTAGAGAGTGTAGAGATTGTCGTGTCTAAATGAAGCTATTCCACTCCTATTTATAAGAGTGGGTCACCTGCTGCCCAAGTTGCCCTAAGATTTCTTCATATCTTTTGGTTTTCCTTGTTAGACGGTGTACTCGTAAGACCAACCCCCACGTCACCTGGTAGAGACACCACTCCCTCAGCTCATGTACCACCTCAGAGGTCGATCCCTCGACCAAAGTCCCTCCACATCCAATAACCTCCAGTCAAGTCGAACTCTTCCGTTCAATATGCCCTTGTCGACCTCCTGCTAAAAGACCCTATCACCCTGACACCATACTCAAGTCGACTGACAGCCTCAGCTCCATCAGCCAGCCCGTCGGATTTGGTTGCCTGGTTACCGATTTTAGGCGATCCATTATGGTATCCCATATCGATTTTAACACACACTCATAGTCTCGCTCAACCTTTAACACAATCATTTTTTTAAAAAAAAATTAACTATAGTTATCCATGTTATACGAAATTTGGATCAACAGTTTTGGAAACCCCCTAATTAAAAATATTGATAATACTGAATTAGGTCGGATGACCGTGGTTTTATATAGTCAAACAACTCGATTTCCTGATCACAAGTTGAGAGTTATTTTTAGGAAGAGAATGTCAGATTATGCCTATATTACAATAAATGAGAGGTATTTATAGTGTAAAACTCACAGGCATAATTCATGATGTCATCATGTTGCCAATTAATGCTACCTGACGGCGACATGCAACTCTGTCAAGTGGGTCCCACACCTAATGATCACCTTCCTTCCGACGGTACAATTGACACGTGTCTTGTCCGCATTAAATTCGATGTCAGATCGGTCTACAAGAGATCTTGATCGGTTTTCTCATGATAGAATAACTGAGCTCTTTACAAAATTCACTTTAATACTGGCTACTTACTTTTCATTGTGTTATGTTCAAGTCGGGGGTCGACCTCGGGATGTGAAAACCGAGTCCTTTGCTTGAACCCTTATTTCATATCGAGTTGGTCGTTGTACTGTTGACGAAGCGTACCTGTCTATTTGGTCCAGTCTTTTAGATCGAGTGGTTATATTATTTAGGCCACATGTCGATTGATTTGGGATCAACAGTTCAGATGTCAAAAATCCAACAAATCCAATCACATCCAAAATAACTTATATTCAATCATTCCCTTAGAGCATTCTTGGATACTAATTTAAAAGAAAAAATTCAATCATTTTTAACCAATCACCTTTTAATTCAATTATAACTCTACTTTAACTCAACCCCACTATATTCAATATTATATAATTGAGTAATATCATTCAATTATTATTACACAATACATCAATTTTAATTAATTATCCGTCCACTCACATAATTTTTAAATAACCATCACGTCACATCAGTTATTTCCTACTTTTACAATAAATAAATTTTAATTATTTTATTTTAAATATTGTTGAAATATAAACTCAGTATTCAACTAACAACTAACTATAGCACAATTTTCAAAATTAGTCAAACAAAATAAAAAAAGCCAAATAAAATAAAAAATTCTTATACCCAAATTCCAAGCATCCGCTTATTAGCTCGTATGAA